CAAGACGTTTTATTAGCTAACGAACGTCGGAGCGTGGCCAGCATTACGAGTCGACGAGCCAATCAGGCAGCGTCAAAAGTGCAACGTCATTGCGCTCTTCATCCTTTTTTTATGGGTTTCTTTTTGAAGCATGAATTACACTGGCCGAGGTTGAGCAGTTTCGCGTGACTCCTGGAGAGCCATGCTGCGCATGCGCGAGGAGCAGTGACGTCACACGGCATACAGCTGGCGCGCCTCGCCGGTCTGCGCATTCCAACGCCTACAGACCGAGAACGCATGAAAACTCGAACCGCAGGATGCCTTGGCTCTTCCCCACAATAGCAAGGACTGTTATTGGATGGCAAGCGACCTTCACACCGCCCAAAATGTAAACGAACTTCTCGTTTAGGGTCCTCGAAAGTGGCGCATTTTTGAGCCCGCTGGTGGCGTTGCCATTTTTTCGTGTGTCTCCTGAACGCGGCATATATTTCTCTGTAACGCGTCCAGACGTAATTTGCATCAGTGTGAATGGCTCGTCTTTGGGCTTAACGTCGTGGGGCACGGAGGTGGAGACTTCCGTACCGCACGACGTCAAGCCCAAAGACTTTCTGATGCTGACCCATTTCAGCCTGAGAAAGTGAAGTGTCGACGTCTTTCATCACTCCTACTGCGAAGTGCCGCGGAATATGCTCGTACGCCCCAGCTTTGAAGCCGCAGATCTGAGTGCAGGCATGCGGCGCACGGGTCGTCTGGCCATTTCGAGTATCCAGTGTGATCAAGTATAATCTGCTGTTAGGCCTAATCTCGTGGATTCATTCGGGACACATCTGTTCCAATGTAACAGACAGTTTTAAACTGCTGATCGATACGATGTTCTCGTTTTCAACAGCTGATACAAAACTTAGTCAGGCGAACTGCTGTTGTAGGTGAGTTCATAACTGTCACCGCTTTTGCTTGAACCGAACTTATTTTGGTGCTTCTTTGATATTTTGGCATCATGTCATTCACGTTGGTCGGTGTCGCCAATTTCCATGCCGCTAGTTAACATTTCAGCGTTGGGCGCAGAGTTCTGCGGTTCGTGTTCAGGTGCTCTAACTTCTGCGAGGTTAGTGACGGAGGATTGGTTGTCTAGTGCGGTGATAGAGAATCCGCCTGTTGAAGGAGGCGTGCTGTAGCGCTTAGTTGGAGCCTTCTGACTCGCCGTTAGTGAAGGGGTTCTAGCAACCATGGCGAAGTCAGATCAGGGCTTATACCCCTAGCCGATCGAGAGCCACCACGCCGACAAGCGGAGGAAGCCTTATTAATTGTTCGCTGAAGTTAGAATTATCTGAAGTGGTGATAATATAAGTAAAACTAAGCTCAAACAAATAAGCTGAGAAAACACACAGACTTGCCCGAACCGCTTCGTCTTCCTCCTTGGATTTGTTTAAGTGTTTTGCACTTCATTTTCTTAGTAGTTGAGAGGTATATGATTTTTGTTTAGTAGCAAGACGTAAACGTTTGTGGTTTTGTGTCTAAGTTTAGGATTTAACAGATGTTTTCAATATCGTTATGAGAAGATACACAGGGCCTAGTGTGGATTTGTCTATGCCTTTCAAAATAGCAAGTCTGATTTTATATTTGCACAACTGTTGTGCAGTAATTCATTGCAGAAAATATATAAACCGTAGCAGTCAATAGGGTCGGACTTCACTGCGTAGGTGTCTGACGCTGCCTATAATTAGGGTGTATTATAGCTAATCTTTAATAGCGCGATCATTTCACAAATATTACTTACTGCCAAGGACCATGAATGAAAAACGTGGATCTGGCGTACCATTGAACTAGAGCCATTAAATGAGCTGCGCTTAGAGTATCGGCAGTCCGTTCCGCGACATTGCTGTGGGCGCCGCCATTTTGGTGCTTGTGCAAAGCAGACGCAACTGCCGATCGTCATGATTCAAAAGTGCAACTTCCTCAGCATTAGATTCGGTGTTAGGAAGCTCATGTAATATTGCTTTGCTTATTCGCGAACTTTTTAAACATTTTTGAAGGACGGAAAAGCGTTTCTTGTAATTTCAGATAAAGATTCAGGTAACTGGCAACCATGATTTTGAGGCACAATGTGGCCAAGTGTCGTTACTTTGAAGCGTAGCTTATTTAGTGGCACTACACTGAACTGTCTATTTCAGAAAGCAAACATATATGTTCGCTCAATTCGGTACCAGGGTCGTTGAAAGATACGCGAATATCTAAAACATTGCAAAACCACTTAATGTTTTTTTTTTCTTGGTACTAGCCCATTCATGTGCATGGAATTTACACTTTCCTTTTAATCACAATAGTTTTCATAAAATTGTTAGTTTGGCTGGTGTTTTGTGGTCAGGATTTTGTTTATACAAATAGCTAAAAAAAGAAAAAGAAATATTTCCCGAGTGGTGTTAGGCTAATGCCACTTGTATTTTTTCGGTCTGTGGCTTGAACGCAGGGCGACTGAGTCTGGTACAATCAAGGTAGAAAAAAAAAGTTTTATAAGTCACGATTCAAGCTACAGCTTAAATTTGCATTTTAATTGTTTGATTGTAATGAAAATGTTTTTACTGCATAAATTAAATGGAGGCATACTTTTATTTATATAACGAGTTTAATTTTTTTTTGTGCCTACATTTATTTATGACTTAAAGTGAACAGTACAGGGAACAGTTTCATTGGTAGATGGGACATGTTTTGTTTGCATTTCTTTGTTCCAAGACATTCGATTTGTGTTTATGTTATAGTACGTTAAGCGACTATTCTGAAAACAATAAGTGCAAACAGATACCTCAGACGTGCCATTTAATAATCTGAGTTCAGGTAGTAATTTGCAAAACGAAATCGCGCTAAAAACGTGGCTTCACTCCTTTCAGCAATCGAAATTTAAGCTTACTACAACAGACTCCCCGTATTTTTATAACAAAATAACTTGGTATATTACCCAAAACATCGACCTAATAGGGAGGGGGCTTTTTTACTACGCATTCTAAAAAGTTGCCAACACTGGCACGCGCAGTAACAGCGTGCGTGGCAAGTGCGTTAACCCAAAGCAGTGCAGTTCACATGTATGGAGCGAAATATTATACGTGTCCTTCTTATTTAGTGATGTTATTTTTGGGTGGTAAAAACATTACACTCCGGCTTTGGTTCCGGCTGCTGGAACTATAGGGTGTGCTCAACAAAAGCTGCAGGAAACGAATGCACGGGGGGTCATGGTTAGAGGCAGATTTATGTAACGGTTTATACCGGTTCGCGCTTAGTGAAATTTATTACCGATCCGACATTTCGCATATGAGGTTGAACTGGAACCGAACCATAACAAGATAACTAAGCAACCGATTCGCAACCAGGACCGAATCAGAAAACTGACGGGTTTGACACTCAGCGAGAAATGTCGCAAGACTTCCCAGAACTGTACTGTGTGCTCAATAGGACAATACAATAAAATACTAGCTGATTCTAAGCCGCATCTAAAAGGTTTATAAAATTGTCAAGAGCTTACCTAACGATCGGGCAATGTAGCAATGCCTGAGCTAGCTACACTAACGGTGAAATTAACTTTTGGCGCAATATCAGCCAACATAGTGTTCACATCCTGGGACAAAACGGATCGGGATGAAGGAGGGCAAGCCCTCTCGCGGCGCCCTTGGTTGCCAACTGGTGCAGCATTCGGATCGCTGCATTGTTATCGGTGCGCGACACCGAATTCCTTGCGTTGTCGTAATCGATGGTGACCGGACACAACGTGCGGTCGGTCCTCTACACAAAGAAATTTCCACATGCCACGTGCAACAAAAATATGTATTTAGAGGACGAACATTGTAGGGGGTTGGGGGAGGGGGGCAAAACTGATTCGAGCTGGAAATGTATGTACACACCACACCGCTCTAAAGTAAGGTTTCATTCAGTTCATTTTGCTCAAGATGGAAAAGTTCTTGACTTGCCTCGTCGTGTCCTCGATGTTTCCTTCCTCTACGATAGAGAGTCTGCTTCGACTGTGTTGTCGTGTCGCCCTCGACCGGAAGCAGGCCGGGGCTTTGATTGGCTGTTTTCCTTCCAAACAGATCCGCTACCGGATGTGTTTTTCCTTTTGTTTTTCTGCTTACTAACTTCAATTATAGAACCCATTTTTTACATTCGCAATCTACTCGATCTTTCCATATCTCCCTTTTTTAATACATAAATCATAGTTCATTTTGATCACTGTCTAATTCACTTCAATCACATCGAGGCGAGGAGATCTGAAATATTCTTTTATTTTCCATAGACGTTTTGGTATATAACACAAATTTTTTTATTTTTGGAGACTAAAACAATGTGGGAAATAATCACTCTCTTTGTGTTGTGCCAACACGTCCTAGATGACACGGCCGGATGGCTGTATTCTCGACGTCGTCTAAAGAGGCAAACCTTGAGACAGCACTTGTGAGAAATCCGCGCCCTGTGTTTGCCTTCAGATGGCGTCGAAACTTCAGCCCTTCGGCCTTGTTAGGTAGGAGCTCGCATTGGTTGTGGACCTCCTCTTGATTACGATAGGAACGATGTCTGTCCGCATTTCTTCGAAAGCCTGTTTCACCTACCACCTGTTTCAGATCATGAAGCTGGTCATTATATGTGCAGCTCCCAGGAGCGTGGTCGGCAAAAGGAACCCCCGTGGATCCTTAAGCCGAGGTTACATTGCTGACAAATCATACAAAACACAGTCTTTAGAGACACTGTCTGGGGCATGTTTCTTCCTTGTATGACACTCCTGTCACAAAGGTCAAACAAAAACCGTCTGCAGACTTCTTGGAAATATCCATATCTTTGAGAGAGGCATGCATCAAACATGATTGAGGTCTGTCTGCAGATCATTTTGTCATCATGTCTGTAGTTAACGCTTTGTCTTTTGTATGTATTATAAGCAGTGTGACCCCGGCTTAAAGATCTCAGTGAAACGTAGACTGCCACTTCGAAGATATCCACGGAACTTCTTTCCTAGGCAGACAAAGGATCGCTCAGTAGCTCACAATTAGGTCATCCAGAAAACGGCTTGCCGTCGATGAATCTGACCAACATATCGAAACAGACCACAGGTTGGTCATGGGGAGCAATATGCCCCGCGTTCCTGACCAAAACCTCCGTGAACTTGCCGACCTGCTTGACATAACCGGCTACGTCATCTCCATCTGGGGTCATCCAGATTTGCCGCGGTGCTCGGGTCAAGGCCTTCGCTCCCGACCACTGAAGGGTGGAGATGAAATTTGTCGTAAGTGGGTACGCAACTATAATGTCCAGCTGGCCGTCATAGAGCATAACTTTGTACTTTTCAATTAGGGCCTCCAAGTAGGGCTTTGCAGATGACATGATGGTTCCCTGAAGATAATGCTGAACTACCTTGTTTGTATCCGTGAAGATACGGTTTCCGACGTGTAATGCCTTGCGCGCCGTTGGACTCTCGACGAACTGGTCAAAATATTGGTAATTTTTAGGTCGTTTGGAGTAAAGATAGTTGTAGTAGAAGTCCATTCCGGTGACATTCTTGAAGTAGGTTGGGTTTGTAAGGAGACCAGTCAAAAGAGGGTCCAATATGTTGAAGGCGTCAAGGTAGCGTCCATTCTTCATTAGTCTGACCATCATTTTTGACCGCTTCCTAAAAACATCGGCGTCGCTTTCATCCACGAGCCCAACCTGGTAAAGGTAGTCGCCGAAGTCCATCATGGAGATTGGATCGATGAAGCCGTTTCCTATAAGGATTCCCTTGAGGTTGATCTTCACACGTGGTTGGATGGCCGTGTCGATGGTGTAGGCGAGAGCAGGAGCATATTTTCCTGCGAAAAAAAGTTTTCAATATATAATTATGAATTACTTATCATTTCAAAACAGTCGTAGGGCTCGCGGATTATCGCTCAAAGGAAGTTCTTCTTCGATGACCCGCTAACGAAGAAATGAAGCAAGCCTTGATACATGTTCCTCTCTCTAACGAAAAATAAATCAAGCATAGAGGTTTCAATAATTCCCACCACCATCATACGGTCAAATCACGACCGCCTTGCTTGATAACTGGTTACCCTTCGGGCAGGTATCTTTGGCATTTGCCTTCAGCACTATCTATCAAGATTTTACTTTAAATCAAAACCGAATCAAAACTTAAACTAATCTATACATGGAGCGTCTAGTTCTATTCTACAGGACTAAACCTTATAGGTCTCTTGCGGCTAAATCTTTTAGGTATTGGGGGAAAGTAGCAAAACGTCGGTTGCCCCACAGAGGCCTCCAAGAGGGTGCTTTTTAACATCTTCCTATCAGAGCCAATGAACTTCGTGTTGCTGTTTTAACATCAAGGCCATGCATCTTATAAACAGTAATTGATATTCAGGAATTTAGAGTTAATCTCGAGGAGCTCTTGTCAGCACCAGAGAGGCAACCTCCTCTTAACGAACACCAGTCGGGCCCATAGCAATTGATTACTCGCTTGTGCGGGATGATGTTAATAGACCTCGGGTTAGCAGTTGTGCTGCACTTACCTAATATCTGCTCATGACACTACTCATAATATTTCAATACTGCGAGAAACGTCCGGCTGCTAGAGAACTCGCAGAGCGGACATGACCTGGACTTTGTGACAGATGCGTTACTATTTTCGTCAAGTCGCAGTCACTCTGCTCATGCATCATACAAAAGACACAATGCTTCCTTCAGACTTGATGACGAGATTATCTGCGAAGACGCCTCAAGCATGTTAAGCACGTTTGCTTCATTCATGTGTATGCTCCGAAAATGTCTAGAGACCAGAATGTAGATTACCTTTTGTGCCAGTGTGATCGCCGCTTTCGGTTTTTCTAGGCTAAGGACTCCAAACTCAAACAAGTATGAGGGTTGGAGGGCCAGTGCAAGGTAGGGTGCTTGGGGAAGTGGAAAGGTGCAGGAAATTTTGAGAAAATAACCTTGTGCTTTTTTCTTCTAGCTTGATCATGCTGACAGAGGTAAGGAAGAACAGGATATGATATGAATGGAGCTGGGCACATGCTATGTGTTTGTGTGATATCAGTGACGTCATGAAGCCACAACTGACGTCACGTGACACCCTAATGTCACGACACCTTAATATCACATAATGACGTCAGACGACACTACGAAATCACGTGACAGACGTCACTGTGCCACGTGACGTCATATGACACTGACGTTACACGACGTCAAGGTTACACCTGACGACACGGTGTGATGTGACATGATGCTGTCCCACGACATCATAGTGTCACATGACCTCATGATGTCATAGTTCTTGGTAACGGTTCTTCATGACGGCTTTCTCGTAGATTTCGGCTGATAAAACAGACTTCTTGTCTGATTCCCGACGAAGTAACATGAAAAAATATGCTAACCGCCATACGATTCCCCGCCGACGTAGAAGTCCCTGTCGACGTAGTCGGGGAAAAGCGTGAAGAACTGCTGCAGGGCCTCGAACAAGTTCCTGGAAGTGTCATGAAGGTTGCGAGCGTAGCCTTCGTCTGATTCCGTGAAGCTGAAGCCCGCGCCCACGGGATTATCCATGTAGAGCACGGAAAACTTGTTGACCCACGTGACATCGCGCAGGTGTGGCGTTCCGTCTTCGGCCACTTGGTACGGTCCGTGCTCCGTGAAGAGGCCGAACAGCGACGTGGATCCGGGACCACCCTGGAGCCAGATCAGGACGGGCGCACTGTCCGCTTCAACCTAGAAAGGGTCGCAGTCGATATTTTTGGTAGCAGCCGATAAGAACCAAAAGAAAAGAACTCCGAGTGCGAGATTATAGTTTTTTTCTACCTTTGATGGGAAGAACCAAAAGAAGAGGTTGCTGCCCAGCTTAGCGTTGACGGTGAGGAAGCCGGAGTAACCGGGCACGTCTTCCACCTGGCCGAGCGAGCCGACACGGCTCAAGCTCCTGGCGTGCTCCAGTTGTCCAGACTCAATGAGAGGCGTTAGGTACAGCGCGCTGCCAACGCTGTCTTCGTCGCTCGTATTGGAAGCTGCATGTCTGCAAAACAGTTGAACTGCTCTAGGTGGCACAGAAGCCTGTTTTGCACATCCAGCGCAGCGCTAGGTCAGCGCAGTAAATATCGCTAATCTTAACGCTGATGGCACGCTGGCTTCGGTATACAGTGCTCATACAGGGTTGCATCACTGTTAATAATGTTAAACACAAGGCTTCTATGTTCAAGACAGCGCTTTATCAGCGCTGTCTCTGTCGTTGTCATAATCGCCAAGGTTTTTTGTCTTTTTAATTCTCTCTTTTGTTATTGCAACATTTTTTAGTTTGTGTGTTCTGTCGTGCCATGCCGGATGTACCAAAGGGAAACTTTTTATAGTCTAATTTGTTTACGTTAGAGCCACTTTGTGTACGCGTCGCACACAGAACCGGCTGCTTTGTGTACGCATCGCCGAGAACCGAAGGCTATTTGGTTTGGGTTTTGTTTGGCTTGTTTTCGATCACGCCAGGTGGGAGTGCCGAAGGAAGACGATTGGCGCCCGGCTCGTGAGCGGAGAGGCCACTTCCTGTACGTGCCGAACCGAGGGTGCCGTGTTACCGCATTTCCCCGACCGCCCAGCGACGCTGTGGCTGATGGATGAAGTGCAAAACGTTATGTTGTGTTTGTTTGGGGTGGTTTTTCTGGTAACCGCAAAACGGAGAGTTCTGATTGGACTTAAGAAGCTCGTTTCTGACTCGACAAATAAGTATCTCCAGAATGCTGCTATCTTTTATGTATAGAGGTGATCTAGTAGGGAAAAGGGCCGGAATCCGGAGAGGAGTCTGGGACGCTGCTCTCCCCTTCTGCGGTCGCGAAGACGACGGAAAGTTGCGCCCGGCGCTTCAACGTCATTGTTCCCTATCGTATTCAGTTAGTTTCTGCTTAATGTACCGCGTTGTGCCCGTGTTGCAGTGCAAGTGCGTGAGGAAGTGGGCCAGAGAAAATCGTCCGACCGACTGGAACAAGACCACGGAGGAGGCATCCACACTCCCCTGGATCAGCGTCGACGGCAGATAAGACTTTTATCTTCACTAGTGCTTTGTTGGGCCCGTTTTGCTTTGAGGCTAATGAGACGTATTGAGCTACTGTGTTTTTGTTGGTTTGTTTGTTCACGAGCTCGCGTCGCCTAGTGTTTTTGCGAGACCCCAGTTTTATCGTCTTAAGAAAACAGTAAATGTCTTTGATTTTTTATCCTCTACTTTCTGGTCGCCTACCCTGCTCACCTTTACACCAGGCGTGGCCCTATCGCCCATACGCCGGTCGAATAATCTTTTCTTTTGTTTGTACATAAGCTGTGGCCTTTTTTTACGTTATTTTTACCAGTTGCCAAAGAGGCCCAAGGCGCGTAAGACAGTCGTGTATCACTAATGCATGGTGAACGTTGATGTTGTTGTTGAAAACTTTTAATTGGATATCACGTTAAAGACCCGAGGTTAGCGGTTGTACCGAACTCGCTAAATTTCACATCTACAGCGGAGAGACAAGTCGCCCGTTGAGGCAAACTAAGTTCAGGCTATATAAACTCCCCCCCCCCCCCCCCCCCCGCCCCCCATAGTGTTTAATTCAGTGCTGAGATAGCCCTCTGGTGTGTGTGTGCACTGACCTTTTCAGTGTCGGTCTAAAGTAGTCACTTTGTTGCTTTTCTAAAAACTCTTAACAGTAACGTGTTACGTTTTCGAAATGTAACTTGTAAATGCACTTCTGTTACTTATCCTGAAGTAAGGATGACAGTAACGACGTTACTTTTGTCGTTATGTTTCACAGCTTTTTGAGGATAAATATATTTTTGAACGAGTAGTATCTAGCCATTCCTTGCACATTCCAAATGATCTGTTCCGACATTTCAAGTGCCATGTCCACCTTGCTTGCTTGTGTTTCATGAAATAAACAATTTATTTTGCTGTTTTTTTTTCTTGGTCACTTAGGTATAGAATAAGTAACTAAAAAGCTAGGCTGCTACTTTTTGAAGTAAATGTGACGAGCTAATGTTTCGCTGCCGTAGCCGTAATGGCACCTTCCCAACCTTTTTTCTTGAAGTAACTGTCTGTAACGAATTACATTTTGGAAGTAGCCTACCCAAGACTGCCAGTAGTGCACTGTCGGTGTCACCATGAGATGGTATAGTTTGCTGGGAGCCGAAAGGGGTTAAATGGCGCATGACATGCCTCCAGTACGCTAAGCTAGAAAAATCCAAGTGCAGTTACGTTATCGCGTAACCTGTGTCAACGCGACCGCAGCTCGGCGCTTGCGATAGTCGATATTTACTCTGTCGTCGTTTCTACACGTCGTCCTGTGCATCATACAAATATTAGCACGAAAGACAAAGGACAAGGGAAGACAGGACAGGTGGCTTGTCTTGTCCTGTCCTGTCCTTCATTGTCCTTTGTCTTTCGGGCTACTGTTTTTTATAATGTTCAACCAACTAGGCCACCAACCTATCTAGTTACAGCTCCCGCGCCCAGTTGCGACGATTTTCACGCCCGCTTCCGCTCTTGATTTCGCCCCTGATCCCTACTCCGCGCACTACCGGCCTTCTCAGTGCGCAGTAACTGAAAGTCACGCTCTTCGCAACCGCTAGGAACCTTCCAAGTTCTAGCCATACGGCGTGCAAGTACGTCTGCTCCGATGGTCGTGCAGATGAGTCGACACTACGGGGCGTCTGCTACTGCCGCTGTGAAAGTGAGAGCGGCAGGCGGTCTCTTTCAAACGCCTGGCCTACAGCATCAGCTCCTTGCGTTTCGACGTCTGCTCGAGCGGCAAGTGCATAATTGAGGCACAGGGAGTTCTCGCCAAGGACAACTGCCTAATTTCCGAAGCAGTTTCACAGTAAGAAAGGTGGCAGTTCAATTTAGCATGTTTGTTTAACAGTTTAATTGGCCGGGGCTCTCCACACGGCTCCCGTGTAGCCTCGGCTCGAGCGCGCCGGTCAGCCAGCCTCAACTACTACACGCTGTGCACTTCAGGAGCCTCCCGACAAATTCACGGAGATCTAAATATCAGAATAACTATGTTGTTGACTGTCAGATTGGTAGGACGCGGAAGGTGAGTATACACAAGTAGGAATCGTGAAAATCCGTGCTTTAATCATTGCCGACGGCTGGGTCGGCTTGAAAATATATTATTCGATCGTAATACAGTATATGAACATTTTCGTAAAAGCGTATAAGGTCGCAAACACTGCTGTGTTTGTGTGTTATGCACGCGAACTTTCTGGCTGGCCGCAATGGCGAGCGAGCGCTGGATGGACCGTGATTTAGCGCGTGTGGACTGCGATTTTTGTAAACAGTGGAAAGGTGCGTACTGTGTGGAGAACCATATACAGGATATTTTTAATGGAAAAATAATTTTTAATTAAGAGTGAAAACTGCTAGCTGAATACCGTCTTCGCTAGGCGTGTCTCGAGTTCGGCGGACATCAGTTGAGGAATAAGCGCCATGTAAATTGGCTAATTAACTAATATAGCATAAATAACCATTTAAATTTCGGTTTACTAGTCATCCTGCAATGTTAGAAATGGCTGTAATTACTATTACAGCTCACACCGTTAAAATAATCTGCAAAATTATAACAGTTTTTGAGATAGTAATTAATCACATTTTACGTTTTGTTTTAGCCGGATTTAAAAATGGCGATTAAAACGCGCGCAGCAACACCTGTCCACGATAAGGCTCAGAAGAGTGACTACGTCACTCTTCCAAGCGATATTGTTGGCGGTTAAGTTGGCGGAACTCGCGGAGCGTCGGCACCGGTCACAAGCCTCAAGCCCGAGCAGCATCCACGAGAAGGATCTTTAGCCGGTTTGCAATTCCTTCTGCTTGCTTTACGAGCACAAACGGACTACAAGCTTGCCAAGGTATCTTGGCGTGCAAGTTGCGCGCGTTTTAGGCTTGTAAATGTCGGTTGTTTATGTTTGTTGCTCCAATAAGACTCGGGCTACATTGTTTAGCTGTGCTCTGTTCCCCCTTAAGCCGAGGCGGCAGCCAAATCTACAAGCGCGAGCCAGCCCGTGCTCATGAATTTGAGACGTGCATTTCTAGCGCGAGTGCCCGTTCTGAAGAAAAACGCTTCAAACTAGCCTCGAGCTCTCTTGGCTGTGGCATTGGTTGCGGTGTCAGCTTAAACGGAGTACAATCGCGAATACCTACCACGTCGACTCTTTTGGTTGGGGCAGGTCGCCAATAGTAGAATTGTGTGGAAGGTTATGGCCTGTATCCAGCACTTGACACCTAGTTTTTCCCGATTGTGTTGTGTTCAAGTAAAGCGCCCAATTATTTTATGATGTTCACAATATCAGTTTGTTTTAATCAGATCTGCCACGAAGCCTACACTGCCACACGCCGTAGCCGCGCTGAGAACGCAGTCGGTTATTCGCAACTCTCAGCGATTGTTGTACCGCGGTGTGAGAATCACGCTCCCTAGCTCCTGGATGATCGACTTGGAATGAAGCTGCTTGCTTACACCTTCTTGACGTGGAAGTATCTGGTAAGGCTCACATAACACTCGCATTTCACAAAATATAAAATTACTTAAGCGTCGCGTACCCTACCTTGTCCTACTGTGCTATACGACGATCATCCAGATGACAGCCATTTTGATGGGAATTAGTGCGCCCCCTATTGGCCATGAAAGTTACCAATAATAGCATTGCTTAGGATGTTGACCCGCCATAGATAAAAGAGACAATAGACCGATCTCACCAAGCGTTCCACGCATGCGTGATGCCGCCATAACTGTAATTCGTAGGAGGCAGACGCCAGTTCACGAGATAGCTCATGCCGCCTCGTGCTCTGCTCGCGCAGACCTCCAGCAGGGTTGTCGCGCGTGGAGAAAGACTACAGCTCCCACGATGCATGTCGACAGCGGTGGTGTACTCAAGCTAGCTGGTGAGATCGGTCTATTAGTCGTGAGCTCCATGCCTTAAAAAAATTCTCCGTAGGGGTAGCGTCGAATACGAAACGCCGTACGAGGACGAATGGTCCTTGCTTCAGATCAAGGAATGGGATACCCGGCACTCGAAGGTCAACTCACACCATGGTATCCCGTACGCCGCCGTTCCAGGACCCTCCGCAGGCAAGCCAGAAGAAGAGCACCAGCCTCATCTTGTCTGTCGGAGCAACTGCTGCGTATAGACCTTTCCAATGTTTACAAATCCACAGCTCAGCATGCGCGTGTGCGTCGCTTCGGAAAGCGAGCAAATCACGCGCGATACGCACGAACACTGAAAATGAAACCGGCCAGCAGCCCTTTTCTGGAAAGGTCTATAGTGCTTAAGATGATATCAGATTAGAATTTTATCGCCGATTCGAGATATTTAAGAATATAGATGACACCAGCGCTCTGGCTTGGAAAGAGACACATTTAAAGTCAAGCTAATCTGACATGCCTTTTTCGGGCTTTCCCGGACACCTCCTCTGCATGAAATAACCCCAATTAAACTTCCGCTTGGCGTTCCTTTTTGAGGGTGTGTCTGCGCACTACGTTGTCAGACAGCTTTGAGTAGGAATTCAGGAGTGCAGTTGGTGCGTGCATGGCCTTGTTTGGTGCTCGAGGTGGACGTGCATTCGGCGGCAATAGGAAGTATTCACTGGAAGCCATACTTGTGGGTGCTGTTTAAAGCGCATGCTCAGAACGAGCTCACATCAATTGGCTGCTAAGACTGGCACTCTCAATGCTGCGGAATGCACGTTGCAAAAGAACTGTGGAAGTTTGCCACCAGCAAGCGCTCAGAATTCGCACACACACAGATATGGACGCCAGTGAATACTCCCTATAGCGTACTTCTTTGTCGCAGAAAGCTGCGTCCGAGCTAAGCCCCGTTCAGTAGAGAGCTCCTGGCCGGTGCCACTGCCAGTCATCGCGCATATGGCAAGTTTTTACTTGCTTTTCTAAGAGATTACTGGGGCAGCCATATTCCTAGGGCAGGCCGACCTTAACGGTGCCGAAAGCAGCGCTTTCGCTTTACAAAGAATTCCTCTACTCGATTTTTTTTCCGTCAGCTCAAGTAGCTCATGTACTCGTGCCTGTACTCTGCGCCAAAATGTTTGTGCTACATTTTCAAGGCTACCCTAGCTTCCACTGTGCAGCAGTCCCGCAATGCTGCGAGAGCGCGGGACTGTCTTTTGCGCCCCATTTGCATGCGCTCGCGCAACTAGCTTTCACAGAGTTGGAGCGCCGTGAAAGCTAAGCTGGGGGAGCGGTGACCGAAGGGGCTAGCGCACACCAGCTCGGAGCACGTGGAGCGAAACCTCGCGCCGCAGAACCAAGGAATCCTGGGTTCAATCCCCACTCCTGCCCGTTTCGATCTGGAGAAGCATCGTACCGGCGTGCTGTCGTGCACCACTACTGCGTGAAGTACGTCAAAGACTCCAGACCATACATGGGTAAATTACTTTCAAAATGTAATTTAATTACAATTACAATTACTTAGCTCCCAAAGTAGTTTAACTACAATTACAATTACTACTACGCGAAAGTAGTTCATTGCAATTACAAATTACTTTTTAAAAGTAATGCAATTACTTTACAATTACTTATTTCTGAGAGTTACCCACCTTGGGCCATATAACTGTAAACGAGTTTTGTGGCCGCTGTATAAATGTCACGCATTGTACTTTCCTTTTATGAAATTTGTTAAATGGATTATAGAACTTAATAGTTTGGAGTAATGAACTCCTGCGTTCTTATATTCTCAAAAAAATAAAAATCAATGGCCACAAAATTTACAGGTGCGAGGTGAATCTCCTTAGAGTTCATGCAAATGGTATCCAAGTCAAACCAACAAGAAATAAACTTAAAAATAACACAAGGAAACAAATATGCGACAGTACTGGTATCATAAAACTCACGTAAAAATGGCTAATAAGAGAAACTTGTAAACGACGTCAAGCACTTAAAGAATACGACAACTTACGAAAACATTTCAGCCACGATGATTCGCTGCCTCTCCCTGTCTGTGGACTTGTAACATGCCGGATGTGGGTTACCGTAGCACGCGAACTGTGGTCGCTTCCACAAAACTAGTGTCACAATATCAGCAACTCTATTGCCAGGGATTCTGGGTTAATTCAGTGCACGGAAACATCCAAAAAGCTCCTGAAATAAATAATAAATTTAGGATCGTCATATAGATAATCATTAGGATAGCAATGATTGTATCGATGTTATGCGTCTCATAAAAAAGGCCGATTTGAATTTAGCATGGCAAGAACAACCTCGAAAAATTCATGATACACTGTAAACGACTTTATTTTCGCGAATTTCGCGAATCGCCTATAGTTCGCGAAAAATAAGTCCCGCGAGCAATTCCGGTAAAATGTAAACACATTGGAATCTATATAGTGGGACCCCACTGCGTCGCGAAAATTAGAATCCGCGAATTATTCCAAAACTGCGGCCTCTTGGACGCCTCAATTTCATGATTTACTTGAGCGTGTTTCAGCTGGAAGATATAGACGAGCTATTATGATTATTATTATTATTATTATTATTATTATTATTATTTATAACTGTTCAGTATTACTGAAAGTGACAAAGAAGTTGCCTACCTGCAAATGTTCCCGCAAATTGGAGGTCGCCTTTCGGTTTGTTGAATTTGTTTTCAGAGACGGTTTGCACCTCACGATTATATTTTTTACATTGCTGCTAATCTGTTTAAAGAATTTTTCGTAACAAGGCCCCGGCAGCCTTTCCTTTTCCATTGTAGATAAGACTGTTGCAGGTTCTCAATGCAAAGCAGCACTGCGCGCCTCGGGACGGGTCTACAGTCCAGGACGAGAGGACAACGCGTGGAGGGTCACGATAGAGGTGTAAAAACAAAGTGCAAGCCAAGCCCTCTATAAAAAAAAAAAAAAAAAGAAAGGCTTCAACGAACAACTTAAACGTAAAAACAAGCTCCCTACAGTTTAAAGCCCCGGTTTGTAAGTTTTGGAATCTCGTCCAATCAGGCTGACAAACGGTTAAAAGTGTTAAATAGTGCGAACACTAAATAATGAAGATTTATACAAAAAGGTAGACGAGGATTGGGAGAAGGAAGAGCAGTGTAGCAACAACAGTTGGAAGTAAGGCAGGGTGAGTTGATGTTAATGAGACATGCTGCTTCTTTGCCTCGATATCAGAGTAGCACGACTTACTGTTAGTGATACCAACATACGAGATAGAGGAGAAGGACGTGAAAAACGCACAAAGAAAAGAGAATAATTTCATGAACAAAAAAGTCCCCAATCTTGACTGAAATATGTAAGCGAATATGCTAGCGGCGAAGACGCGTAAGGAGAACCTCGAACCTCCCCGCCTCGACCGCATGATGTGATCGGAGCCAACCAGCCGTGTTCGACCCCCGATGCCCCCTTGTGGGAATGAGAAACAAGAAAGACCCCTGGAAACGGGAGCAACAGGAAGCGAATGAGACGAAGAGTCAGATTCAACTACGATAGGAACAAAAACGGACGCGAATGTAGCCATCATTTATCAAATTATTTCTCAAAATCTTCATTAAATCGTTTTAAAGTCTATAAAATCCTTAATTACGTTCTATCCCAGCCTCTTCTTCCCATCCCTCCTTTTGAGCAGGTTGGGAGACACTCTCTCCCCTGTCGCTTTGGCTGTGCTGTCGTCTCCGTGGCCAGGGGGAAAAGCGCCGCCGCCGCAAAATCTTGCAAAAGTAATTGTAATTGTGCCTGAAATTTAGCAATTACTGACGCTAGAAAGTAATTAAATTACAATTACAATTCCTTTTATCCAAAAGTAATTATTAAAATTACAAATTAGCAGGAAATGTAAATAAATTACAGTAATTTAATTACTGCAATTGAATTACTACCCAAGTATGCTCCAGACTACCGGTGTTACTGCATTGGTGAAATTGCTCATCTACAGCGGAGACACCAGACACCCACTGAGGCAGACTAACTTCCGACTGTATAAACATACACATACCCCAATGTATTTTATTTTTTAAGAGTTAAGCTAGCTTTGACAACGTAGCACCAAATAGTGATTCATGTCTGGAGGGAAATCTCCGAACCGCCCCTTCCCGCCCGCACACCCGCCCGCACGCACGACCGTACCAAGTCGCCCCCCCCCCCACCCTCCCCGTAGGCTGACAAGATATTGTAAAGCAGTTACGTATCGTCGTCTGGGAATTTCGTCTAAGTGGCGATAAGGGTTAACATTAATTTTGTCTCATGCGCGTTGTACGTAGTCCTCGGGCGCACGTTGGAAGAAAGCTGAATAACCTGCAGCGGTTGGTTGGTAAACTTTCGTAGCTAAGTTAAGTGAATTTAGTGTACAAACTACTTGTGGCTGCCGTAACAGAGTGTAACCGCCGTCACAAGCCCCCATGACCCCATCCCCCCTCGGGGCACAATTAGGCCGCCATGGGCAAAAGACGACACGACTACACTTTGTCAAGAAATGTCGACAAATAGACTTTGTCAAGAAATGTCGACAAAGGCGCATAATAGTTTTTTTATTTTATTTATTTATTTATTTTATTTTCCCTCAAGGCCAGAGGCATTACAGAGGGGGAGAGCAAAGAAAAATACAGGAAAGGAAAACAAGCCTAGAAATAAGTTAAACACACTCAACAAATAAAATATGAGTAATTGCAGTTTTGAAAAGGTCAGAGGTCCGTGATGGTGGCAATTGTCTCGGGAAGGTGGTTCCATTCTCGTGATGTAGGAGGGACGAACGATGAATGAAATGTTGTTGTGTTAGAAATTGGAATACCAACCTTGTGGTTGTGATCGTTTCGAGAAGAAACGTAAAAAGGACGGGATATTAATTTGTCGCGCAGGATAGAATTGTGAAAATAAATCTTATGGAATAAAGAAAGGCGAGAAATGCTACGGCGCAAGGTTAAAGGCGGCAATGATAGAGTAGCTTTCATGGCAGTCACGCTAGCCGTGTTGTGGTAGTTAGGAAGGATGAAACGAGCTGATCTGTTTTGAATCGCTTCCAATGCAGTGATGAGGGTGACTTATCCAGGATCCCAGACTGAGGCTGCATATTCCAACCTTGGACGAATTAATGTTTTATAAAGAGTCAACTTTAGTGCAACTGGAGCTAATGAAAAATTTCGTTTAACATAACCTAACATACGGTT